CAAAGATGAGCTCTTCGTGGCTTCTGCGGGAGTTGGCGGCCAACAGACTGCATGGACGCCCTTGTTGGTCGAGCCTTCTAAAGCTCCCGTGCGAGCTAGCGACCTAAAGTCAGTAGTGCTGCCCTCGTAGGTTGAGCTCCTAGTAGCTTCTTGTAGGAGTGGGTGATCGCCGTCACGAGGCTGATGCAGTGCATCCATAGCACTAAAGTATCGAGCTGGCGAAGACCTCTTCACCACATAAGACCCAGTCGCCTCTTCGGCATGGGCAAAATCAAGGAGAGTGGACTACGATTCGCTCCCAGAGCCCAAGGGCTAAAATACCACATAAGACCCAGTCGCCTCTTCGGCATGGGCAAGATCAAGGAGAGTGGACTACGAGTCGCTCCCAGAGCCTAAGGGCCAAAATACCGAACTAACGAAGTCTTCCTCACCATATAAGACCCAGTCGCCTCTTCGGCATGGGCAAGATCAAGGAGAGTGGACTACGAGTCGCTCCCAGAGCCTAAGGGCCAAAATATCGAACTAACGAAGACCCCCTCACCACATAAGACCCAGTCACCTTTTCGACATGGGCAAAATCAAGGAGAGTGGACTACAAGTACCTCCCAGAGCCTAAGGGCTAAAATACCACATAAGACCCAGTCGCCTCTTCGGCATGGGCAAGATCAAGGAGAGTGGACTATGAGTTGCTCCCAGAGCCTAAGGGCCAAAATACCGAACTAGCGAAGACCTCCTCACCACATAAGACTCAATCGCCTTTTCGGCATGGGTAAAATCAAGGAGCGGACTGCGAGTCGCTCCCAGAGCCTAAGGAATTGAATCGACGCTTACGAGCTCATCGAATTATTCATTCCGGGCCAAAAGGAGAAATCTATTCCCTTCGCGGAATTACTTTCAGCTCGGGAGTGGGGGGCAAATGATGAGGGCGGATTTGGCCCTCCAATGATATTGTGACACATGGTACCTCGGAAACCACTGGGTGACACCCAAAACCACTTAGGCAACAACTTAGCCAAGATGGTGGTATCCCGAACTGACGACCTAGCACTGGCGCCGACCTGGCGACCAGTCTTTATGCCGAACTAGCGACCTGACTAGTAGGACAACAGCTCACTTTGACACGCCAAGTCTACAACGGATCGAGCTCGGATAACCAGACCTCCTCGGGACAAGTATACCTCGGCACAAGGTCACATCAGGACCACCTCGGTTCCAAGGCACTTCGGCATTCATATCAGGTCGGATCTAAAGAGCACAAGCTTAGGCAAAGTTGACCGACCACCGCATGGCAACCCCGGAGATCTCGTCATCGTACTCTGCATCTTACGGGATCGTACCTTGTAATGGCTAAATATCATCTCCCCACTCCCCGATTAAGGCAAAAATGGTCAGCCTTACTGGTTGGTAGCATTATCCCCAACTAACACGGAAACGGATCCTGTCGCAGCGAGAATTCCGGAACTACTCCACCGAACCCGCAATGACTCCAGTATACCCCCCAGGGGTGAAAAGGACGCGTAATCTCTGCTCTCTAGCTCTCTCACAATCTAATATCATTTTCAGCTCGCAACCAAGTGCTAACTTAAGCATCAAAGCGACCCCATCGGGTAAATAGCCTCGGGTTCTCTGGTTCATCTCTTGCAGGTTCATCGAGCCTGTCGTTGCTGGTAGTCAGATCATCTCCTGCAGGGAGCAGCCGGATTGCGCTACATCAGTTTGCAATCACTCTACTTTTAATTGATGTTTAAGACTTGTTTGTATTTCCATCTAGTCATGGTGACACGACATCTTAAATCCTTTAGAAACACAAACCATAGGGCAAATTTGATGTTTTATTTTTATTTTCTTTTGATTAATTTGTTTGGACAGACATCTAGGTCAAAAAGCGTCATTTTCCACTCTTGTCTAAGAAAAATAACGACAAATAAAGTGGGTACAAATTATAAGTAAATGATCTGACTACATTTGGAAATGATGCAAATATGTAGAGTGTAAAACGGTTCACATAAATTGCAAAGTTGGGTTAGTTTTGCACTGACAAATGTACCTTCTTACCAAACAGACTTTTAACTGTAATGGATGCAAACATGAATTTCAATAAAGCATATGCTTTTTTTTTTTATCAAAAGCCCACTTTAATGCAACCTTACTTCTTTTTTATTGATGTACTTTTACATCTTATTATCAATGTAAATATGCATTGGTATGCCATTTGTCAATGCATAAATGTAATGTTGCCAAACACAGGCAAAAGTGAACCAGAGTGCAAATTTACCCCGAACTGGGATTTACACTCCATTTGCATCGTTTCCAAACGCAGCCTTAATAATATA